CTACTAGGGGCTCCTGGCCTTACTACTAGGAGCAAAGACGCTACTAGTAACAAAGTGTTTGAACATCTCCGTGCAGCCTGGAGCGCCTGTGCCCGCTTCACCATGGAGCTCCTGCAGCTTTGTGCTCACATCGCCTGAGTCCGAACAAATCAATGGAGTGGCTCTTTGTCTGGATTTCTGCTGCGAACTTGTCAAGGAAGCGAACAACTCAGGCGAACGATATAGTCAACCCGATTCGACGAAGAACGATGATCGACAAACGTTTGTCGGGTATCACCTCGTCTCACCCACCTATTAGGTGGAGGCCATCGCTCTTAGGTTGGAGGCCAACGAAGCCCACTGTGTGACATAGGAGCAAGAACGCTACGAATGGGGCTCCTGGCCTTACTACTAGGAGCAAGAACACGTTCGATGAGAAAAACAGTATCCGTTTCTGCTGCAAACAATGATGTTTCAGAGCGATCTGCATACTCAGCAAGAAGCTACTAGTAGCTAGAAGCTATATACTAGTAACCAGGGCATCGCTACTAGTAACACTATAGCATTAACTCGAAACAAACTCAAACGCAAATGCAGTCGAAGAGCTCTCAGTCTCCTCCCGAATGCAACGATCAGGTCGGAATGCCTTGGCATGAGAACGTCACGTTCGTCTTAGAAGCTTTTTAGACCTACGCTGTTCGTTACTTCCTCTTGTGACCAGAAGTCAGTATGTCCTTCCTTAACGTGCCTTAGTAGCGATGCCCTTTGCTCCTAGTAGCGTTCTTGTTTTCTAATAGCTTCTTGTTACTACTAGTAAGGCACTTGTTACTGGAAGCGATGCACTTGTTCCTAGTCGCGTTCTTGCACTTAACTATCGCTTCACTACCTCTCGAATGCCTTTGATGCTTCCAAGTCAGAAGGCCGGAAGACAAACGGGCACGTACTCCGTGTCCCCATCGGGAAAGGTGGGTCTGAAGCGCTCTCCTGGCAGCTCTTGAAGCGACCCGTCAACATCGCCAGACACATCGCTACTAGAAGCAAAGGGCATCGGTACTAGGAGCAAGAACGCGACTAGGAACAAGTGCATCGCTTCTAGTAACAAGTGCCTTACTAGTGGTAACAAGAAGCTATTAGAAACAATAAGCTACTAGGAGCAAAGGGCATCTGGCCAAACTCACCAGACCCGCCTTTCGCAATGAAGACCGTCTGGCCGGCACGCACCTGGCGCCGAAGCGCACATCAAACAAATGGCCTCCAACCTAAGAGCGATGGCCTCCAACCCACTAGCGATGGCCTCTAACCTACCCAATCTACTAGCGATGGCCTCCAACCTGAGAGCGATGGCCTCCAACCTAAGAGCGATGGCGTCCAACCTACTAGCAATGGCCTCCAACCTATTTGCGAGGGCCTCCAACCTGATTGCGATGGCCTGCTGAAGCTTCAACATGTTTCAACATCCAACATCTGCCTCCAGACTGCCTTCACCATGAAGCAATACCTCCAGATGAACATGATGAACTGCTCAATTTCTCCGTTTAACACAAGATGCAAACACCTTGCATCTATCAAATTGGTTTAAGGCCAAAGCCATTCGACCCTTCAACACCTCAGCTGCCCGCATCTTCAAGAAACGTTCATGAAGCTTGGGGGAATGCGTGAACTCAGCAGCTTATCAGCACAAGACCATGTGTTTAAATAGATCTGTGTTGTTAAATAAATCTAAAAATACATAATGTGGTCAAAACATGACAAACCTTACGTAAAAAGTGTTCTTCCTCGGCATTGTTTTCAAATTTCATGGACCGTTGCTATTCAGACAAGTCACGCACATCCATTCATCATAGTGTAAAGTAAGCCAGGGCTCACTGGTTGGCTCGGCGATCTGCAAACAAATGTGATTCGTCTCCAAACAGTTTGCTTGTCGCTTGTGGTGAGGGGACATTAAGTATAAACTGCCAAAATCTGTGCAACAACGAATTAGGCAGCAGGTTCTAACAAATAAGTGCAATGTTCAATGAGTGGGGCTGACAAAATTCTGGCAGAATCAGAATAATGAAGCTGCCCGAAAAGATCTAGCCTGATATAGCTGATAATAAAGTAGAACATCTCCAAGCACGATGCCAATTTACCAATCCTGACACTGCCAGATTGCCCTGCGCCTTGACCAAAGCAATACTGATCCGATCGTTCTTGGTCGCTACATTTCCAGCGAGCTCGTCAATGGTCCTCAGACAACCTCCAACCTACTAGCTTCTTGCTACTAGTAGTAATGGCCTCCACCCTAGTAGCGATGGCCTCCAACCTAATTGCGATGGCCTCCAACCTACAACCTCCAACACTCGACAATTCTATAATCAAACCTGGCAGCAAGCAGACTGTGTAATACGCGACTGGGCCAGCGGTGGTGGGTTGTCCAATCGCACAAAGTTCGCCGAGATGCAGCGGTCCAGTGTCGACAACTCGAACAGTTGCGCCCACCAGCTGCACCATGGCAGTTCAAGATATCTCAAGGAATGTCAAATAGTCAGTCTCATGAGGCTCTTAGAGCAAGGCTGATTACTTAACACTTTTGAGGATCGGAGAATCCTTCAAATGTCTGACTCTAGAGTATGGGCATCAAGCTGATCTATGTCACTAGCTGATCTAGTTGTCTGGGATCTGTTCATCGAAGCTCCATTTTCCGAGCAAGAAGATTGAATAGGTAGAGGAACAGCGAATGCTTGGCTAACAAAATGGTTTACATCTCTAGTCTCTATTTACATATTTAGTTGAGTTGAAATACTCTACCTTCAATAGACCAAGCTGCTTAAGCTAAGAGCGCTGCAACACACAACGTTTGACTGGGTCCTCACACCAAATCCGGTGCTGGGTCGTAGCTGTAGATGAGTTCTCGAGGCTCCCGGATCTAGCAGAAAAATGCGGAAAGGCACTGAAGCTTTGTATAGACTATGTGTTTCCAACACATAAAAAAAGAAGAAACTGTCTAAAGAAAAAGGCTAAACAAAAGAAAAAGCATATTTAAAAAGCAACAATGAGGATTCTTTTCCTGAGTGTTGTCGAGAGGACACTCTACGGGGTCTTGCGGTAAGTGTGAAGGACAGGTTCTAGATCAGGGCTTCGCGTGGGGTGGGTCCCACATGTGTTTCGTGCCAGGCTGGCACCATCCCCCACACTGTTGGGGTCGACGGGATATTTCCTTGTTGGTTTCCAAAAATAGGATGGAGGCCATTGCTAGTGGGTTTCTTCTTTTAGATCTTTGATCGTCCGTCTTTCCTTCGTTAGGTTCGTTCATTGAAAGTTTCAACCGCATGGATGGCATAGACAGCCTTTTCAACCACGCACACCGCAGTTCCATGTCCAAGACATTGTCGACAGCACCCTCCACACGACCCTCTACAGCACCCTAAGCCAAGCTTCACTCTCTGCAAAACTGGTGACAGTATGTGCCAAGAAGAAGAAAAAGAAGAAATGGACAAAGGACTACAAATGCAAAGACCAACAAAAGAACTTGAAACTTGCAGAAGACCAAAAGAAAGTGATACAAACGTGTGTTAATCCTTCAGGTTGAGAATGTTTTAAGGCCATGACAGGTTGCATGTTCTTCCAATGCTAGTCATGTCTCAAGCCAATACTAAGTTCGAAAACCAAAACAGTGACAGTCTAGACTCTTCACCACTCCATGCTGGTTCATCCAACTATTTGATCTCTCATGAGTTCTCACCATTTCGCTAGACGGCAAGTCTCAGACCAGAACAAGAAGCTACTAGGGGCTCCTGGCATCACTACTAGGAGCAAGGACGCTACTAGGGGCTCCTGGCCGTACTACTAGGAGCAATGTTTGCTACTAGGAACAATTTGATCTCCCTGTGAAGGAATTGAAAAACGCCCAAGCCTCGCTGAGACTGTGCTGCGACCGGACTGCCAGGGAGCAGTGCATCAGAATCGAAATTCAAGATCACGTGATTGCATGAAATAGTCATGCATCATGTCTTTCTATAAAGAGTCAAAATAGTAATAGCAATGGTCTCTTCGTTATCTAATTCTTTAAGAAGATTGGACCGGAATTTCATCGGTATCCAGAACAGAATGAGATGTGAGAATTCTCCAAGAGTGTGTTCCCACAAGAGTCGAGAGTCAGACGTCACTAGGATGGAGGCCATCGCTAGTCTTGAATATAGAGCGATGCCCGAAAAACCCGAGCGATGGCCTAGGAGTGACTGAGAAGTGGTCCACTGGCGGTCCGTCACATGTGTCGCACGGTGCCTTGCCACCTGGTCGTGGTACCCATCCTGCAATCGAAGCCGCGGTATCCACCGTACCCGCTTTTCGCATGTGGTTTTGCTCCAACCATGTCTTCTGAAAAGCTTCGCCGCTTGGCTTTTAAAGCCTCTGAAGCGTCCTATTCGTCCCCTTCTTCCTACTCTTCCCATTTTGCATTAAAGCATGTTTTCTTTGGCTCTCTCTGATTAGGTCCTCTGCAGCTGACAAGGATACTAGCTGCTAGTTCTGGGGTCTCAGGTCTTTCATTGATTTTTCTCTTTGCGACTGACAGTAGCCCAAACCCTTTTGTATGTGTTTTCACGAAGGAAGAAAACAACTTGAAGGAATCGTACAAAAGGAAAGAAAGCAACTAGTAACAAGTGCATCGCTACTAGTAACAAGTGCCTCACTAGTAGGAACAAGAAGCTACTAGGAACAAGTGCATCGCTTCTAGTAACAAGTGCCTTAGAATTAGAATTAGAAAGGATGGAATTAAAAGCACTGGGGAAAAAGAAGAGAACCCTGTATATAACCGTTGTGCTCGCCGGACCCAGGCCAACGAAAAATGTGTATAACAATATATAACTATGTTAAATCAAAACCAACAAAACTTGATGTTTTCGGTAAGTTTAAAAAAAAAAAAACAGGTGTCTCTTTGTTCCTAGTAGCAAACATTGCTCCTAGTAGTAAGGCCAGGAGCCCCTAGTAGCAAACATTGCTCCTAGCAGCAAACCGTCTTTCGTGTCTCTTGCGTCTTTCGTGTCTTTCCGCCGTACCACGTCCTTCGCAGGTCTTTTCTCAGCGTGGGCACGGAAGCAGAGGAGAGGAGCATCGTGGTTTTCGGGGAGGTGATGGGCCGCCGAGCGCTCTTCAGCACCTCCCGTTGTGCCATCCTGTGTCGACGTGCTGAAATGATTGCAGGACCTATATTCTAGTAGTAACAAGTGCATCGCTAGTAATAACAGGTGCATGGCTAGTAGTAACAAGAAGCTATTAGTAACAGCTTGCATAACAGATAACCTAATATACTAATAAACTTGATGAAAACCTAATAGCAATGGCCTCCAACCTAATGATTGTATAATCATGGTCAAAGAACATTGAAATTCTCCGAGTTGTTCACCATGCGCACTGATTCTCAGTGTCTGCGGTTCTTAAAATCTCCAAATGCCCTGCTTAGACGGCATGTGTTACTGCCGCTGATCCCAAAATAATGGCCTATGTCATTGTTGTTTACTAATAGCGATGGCCTCCAACCTACAAGCGATGGCCTCCAACCTACTAGCCATGGCCTCCAACCTACAAGCGATGGCCTAATAGCCACAGCAATCAATGTCTTTGTTTTTCCCCGCAAATGATCAGCTCCATCGGTGGACTCACCCTCATCGCGCTACACCACCCTCCTCGGCCAACACCACCCTCCTCACCGCTACACGGTTTAAAGCCGAAGTGAATCGAGAAGGGGTGTAGTAACAAGAAGCTACTAGTAACAAGTGCATCGCTTCTAGTAACAAGTGCCTTACTAGTAGTAACAAGGACGCTAGTAGTAACAGGGGGTGTAGTTCGAACCGCTGAACAGTTCGAAGGCAGTGGCGTGGCTCGGCCTCTCGTCGCTGAACCAGTCATTCAGCTGAGAGAGCTTTGCAGAGGCATCGATAGAGCAGTGATTCAGCGGCACCAGCCTCAGAACTTCAGAACCATTTCTTGCTTTGACTTCAAGGAAGCTATTCACCCCAATGCCTACCCCACTGACAGCGTGGAAAAGCTCTCCCGTTTCGTGAATCTGTGAGTTTGTACGGAACTCAGGATATAAGCCGCTTAAACCTTCAGCAGTCTCAAGATTTTTCCAAGCAAAAGAAGAAGCGAAGACGAAACGTGGCAAAAAAAGACAGGTAGCGAAAGACAACATACTTTTTACATACTTGCTATAGTGTCCTTCGCACTAGGTTAGAGGCCGTCACTAGTAGGTTGGAGGCCATCGCTAGTAGAAACAAAGAAAAAAGCCAAGCAAGAAAGGTCTAACAGTAGCTTAGTAGCTTCCTGTTCCCAGTAATTAGTAAGGCCAGGCGCCCCGTTCGTAGCGTCCGATCGCTCCTAGTAGCGATGCCCTGGAGCTCCTAGTAGCATTCTTGTTACTACTAGAAAGGCACTTGTTGCTAGAAGCGATGCACTTGTTCCTAGTAGCTTCTTTGCTTCTTTGTGTTGCATGTGTTCTGGGGAGATGACCGGCCCGTCGTTCGCTCCTTTGCTAACAAATTGGAATGAACTGGCACCGGTCTCGCGTATCGGCCACCGGGGCCAGCCTGATTCACAAGCTGGGCGGGCTGAAACACACGGGTGCTTTGTTCGTTCAGGTTGGAGGCCATCGCTACTAGGTTGGAGGCCATTGCTAGCAGGTGTCCACCCTGGTGCAAAGGGTAAGGGTAAGGATACTGTAAGGATACTGCCAGGCTCGTCTTGTTCGCAACAGGAAGTGAAGTCCAACATGCTGTCGAAATCCAGTTTTGCAGCACTCGGCTTTGACACAACTCAGGTCAATTGTCGACAGAGTTTGTTGCACCTCTTTGAGGAAGCCCAGGATGTCTTCAATGGTAATGTCGCCAGATCCATCGCGATCAATCCTCGCGACTCCCGACATCTCACGACTCGAGATGACTCAAAACACAAGAGCAAGAATGCTACTAGGAACAAGTGCATCGCTTCTAGTAACAAGTGCCTTACTAGTAGTAACAAGAATGCTACTAGGAGCTCCAGGGCATCGCTACTAGGAGCGATCGGACGCTACGAACGGGGCTCCTAGCCTTACTAACTACTAGGAACAGGAAGCTGCTAAAAAGACCTTTCTTGCTTTTCTTTTTTCTGTGTTTCTACTAGCGATGGCCTCCAACCTACTAGCGATACTCAGGCACAATGTCACAACTACAGGCCTGGTAAAAAGGTCATCCACGTGCCACCTGGGATGTGGTGCTCAAATGCATACCAAACCGAGCACAAGATGATCCACCTCTCCAAAGACTCTTGAAAAACTCTGTGGAAAGTTCAGAGATTGAATGCCAAACCAGAAAGAAAGGATCAAAGGTCTAGGGCATCGCTACTAGGAGCAAGGATGGCTCCTGGCCGTACTACTAGGAGCAATGTTCGCTACTAGGGGCTCCTGGCATCGCTACTAGTAACAAGAGGACGCTACGTTCGGAGTCGCTGCTATTGGTCTTCAAAAGCTTTGCTTGAATCTCAGTCGCTCATCGTAGCGAAGGCGATGCAGTCCCTCAATGAAGCCTGCCCGCGTAACCTCCATGCGGCAAGGGACACAGCAAAGGCATCGAAGAACCGGCGCTTTTGTAGCAGAACTTCTATCTCTTGGCACCTTTCCACTTGCACTCATCTTGAAGGCATCAGCTGGCCTGCAATATTTAGATTGAGCTTTGTCCGATTCTTTACAAGAACATTACCACTTATTACCACTTACCCCCTACGTTTGCTACCCCTCTCATGCCCATGGCCAAGCCCAAACCACTGAGTTGGCGACGACTTGTAGAGCTGCATCAACGCCTGGAACAACGTCCAAGGATGCAGGTAAGTACGTTGCAAAGCCTTCTACTATGTACAACTGTTGCTACTCAACTCTTGTAGAACTCGAAAACATTCCTTGGAAAATCCAGTGTCCAATGCCTGATGTGCTTCTTTTCGTCTCAATTTCTGACCTTCATTTCTGGTGTCTTGGACGAGGTGAGCTCTTCCAGGAAGCGCCGCAAACGGCCCAGCAAGGCTTTGCGGCCTCGGCCTGTGACACGTCTCAAGCTCCGCCCCCCCCACGGCATCCGGCCTCCCCACCTTTTCATAGCACTAGGAACAAGTGCATCGCTAGTAGTAACAAGTGCCTTACTAGTAG